AACTCAGATGGCTGCCACAGTTGAAAACCAACAAAAACATCATTGAGAATAGCAGCAGAATCATTTGCAGAAAAACACTTCAAATGGAATTTTTATAACCTTGTTTCAAGCATATACACTGTCTTATATGGAAATAAATCAAAGCCCCAAGAAACTTTATTTGGAAACAAAGAACAACCACCACAAAAAAAAAAAAAGGAAACAAGCGATTACATACCTTACCCGTAGATGCTCCATATCCTGAATAGTCATAACTGCAAACATAAAACAAAGTAGAAACAAAATTCAGAAAGAGCTTATGTTCACACCCCAAAATGTTTTCTGAAATAGAACATTACATAAGTTGTCAAATCAAGCAAAATGAATATTAAAATATACATTTACTTTTATGGAAGTGAAGCAAGCTCATGTATTACTATGCATGAGCTTACATACAGAGTAAAAGACCAAGAAGTTTTGCTCAAGATTAAGACACAGCATAATTATCATCTTTATCAGCTACCAAACAGCTAAACAGACACTGATATAAAAAGATGTCTCCATTGAAAACGAACATATAAGAAATTAGAGGCCAAAGAAGAAGGCGGTGGTTTTGGTTGACCTCATGATGTTGACACGCAGGTGAGCTCTGAGCTCGATGAAGAGGTCGTGCATCTGACCCAAGTCAGCGGCATTACCGTGAGAGTACAAGAAGGTGAAGCGGGCAAAAGGGTGTTTCCAGAAGGTGGCAACGATCTTGTTGCCACCCTTAGTGTCGAGAATGTGAACGTCGACGTTTTTGTCGGCTGTGACACCCGACAGCACCACCCTCCCATCCCCCTCTCGGCAAACGTCGTAAGTTGGTGGCTCTGGCGGGAAAAACGCGAATTTGGCAGCCACTGTTCCCGTCACATTGCCCATTTAACGTAGGAGCGCGCAAACGGAAACCCACTTGAGCATGAACGAACCCAACACAGTAATGGTGATTTGCCTTTCTGGGCACTTCTTGTTTCTCTTATTTTGTGTGTGAGAATGAGAAAAAATTATAAAAAATTAATTTTTAAACAAAAGGTGTGTTTGTTTGAGCTTAGTCTTTAAAAATTGGTTGTTTTTTGAGGAAGAAGAAGATGAAGAGGATGTTGTGTTGTGTTATGGAAAGGTGTTGTTGAAGTTGGGAGTGGGTTGTGATGTGAGGAAAGTGAAGAGTGGCAGAAAATAGATCCGACCTAAGCGGGTGAGCTGGAAGTGCTGCTGGGCAGGACCATTCATCTTTTCTTTCTTCTCTCTCTCACCCTTTCACCTATCTCAAATACAATTATCACACAACAAATCAATTAATTCCTTAAATGCTTAAACATCTTTTACTGTTTTTTAATCTGCTTTCTATAATTTATTTTTCAAAAATTCATGGTTTGTAAAAAGCATGTGATGATTATTCATTCTAGACCATAAACAACAAGTACAAGTGGTTCTATATTTTAATCTTTTTAATCCATAACTTTTATGTATGAAATGAGTTAAGGAGGAGTTTTTGATGATAAGAAAATGGAAAGAGAGAAGATGAAAAAAAACTACAATGGCCCTTTTTGTTTTTTCTTTTCATTTAAGACCGAACAAATTTTAAATCTTTAATATATAATTAATTTTTTCTTGAGTATCTAGTAAATATTTTTTCAATTTTTTAAATATCTTCTATTATTCATGTCAATCATAATGTCCCAGTGGTTAAGTTAAAAACACTTGTGATGGGGTGGAGATATTTAAAAACTATTTTATAAGTCTGTTTTGAAACAGGACAACAGACATTAATTGAAAATTTACTACAAATTTTAAATGTATTCTAATGATCATAATGAACTGTGTTATGATACATTGATTGGTGCACTGTACAATGATGCCCTCTAACTGAAGTAGGTAACCTCTTATCCAGAGACTGCAATGAAAAGACAAACTTACCCTTCAAAGATTATGATTCAAAAAGAATTTGGGTCCATGTCATTTACCACAATGCAGATGAGATAAGACTAAATAAAAAATATATTTTTTCTATTTAATGATATAATAATATAAAAGATTAACCACTAATAAAAGATTATATAAAAAATTATTATCTTCAATTCAAAATCTTAATAGATTAATATATATTTATATATATTTTTTACTTTTATCTAATATAATTTTTTTAACTTATCTTAAATTTGTAATATATTACTAAATTTTATTTTTATCAGTTTTGCTCCTTGTTATACATTAATTACAGCATTTTTCTATCATTCTCCAGGTTAATATATTTTAGCTATTTTCCAAAGTTGTGTCAACAGCTAACATGATTGTTGTGACAAACTGGGAACATTACAAATTCTTAAATTTGAGTCTCTAAAACAGCTTACGTTAGTATATCAGAAAAAAAATTATAGTTGGAACATTCTCCAATTGTATAACATTTTTATTTTATTTTTATGAACAGATAAGAATAACATACATGTAGCACTAAATAATTACATTAATTTATTTAAATATAGTGTTTGTTGGTTTGCTTGTTTAACCCTGAAACAGTGTGCCATTTGTGGTTAACAAGAGGATCAAGATGGAAAGATGAAGACGTAAGAGTACAGAGTCATAGAGGGTCTAGATTCGGTCAAAGGTAGCAGAGGATCTTCAAATAAAGAGGGCCAACTGTGACAGAAGAAGGGGTCAAACATGTCAGAGTAGACATTCTATGTTTATCTTTTGCTTTTCAGAAATATACAATTTGTTCTCTTCACAAACACTTTTTTTTTTCAATTATATTATGAACTCCTCTCTTTAGATTCCTCTGGGTCATGGATTTTAAGATCTCTCATGTTGTTTTATAAAGATTCAGCAATGTCATGTTGAATTGTGAAGATGAAAGATTAGGTAACAGTAATGTCGAAAATTATAAAAAAGTAGAAATTTTTTTACTCTGAATCTGTTGCTTTCATTAAATGGACTAACTTATAATAATGTATTAATGCTTTGAGACAGAAAAGTGTGGTTTTACTTTGAACATATCTTTAAGATATGAGGATTTTACTTTTCAACTATATGTATGTACTTTGATTAGTTGACAATAATTTATTTGTTTTTTAGTTGATTGTTAATTATTTCTCAGTTGTGCATTATTGGACAAACTTTAAATATTTATTATAAAAAATGTTATCTATTGAAATTGGATAACTTTCAAAATCCCCAAGAAAAAGGAAGAAAATTTGACCAGATTCTTGATATGTTGTTTCATAATGACCAAGCTAATCCTTTTTATGGCAACTTTCTACATGCTGTTAGGAAACTGCTTTGACATAATGAGCATGTTCTATATTTACTCCTTGATAAATTATGGCATTATTATTATTATTATGAGCAGTTCATGTTCAAAAAGGTACAAAAAGCTGAATGGTAAAGTGAATGGTTTTGTTTGTCAACAATTACTCAACCATGTTCATCCATTTAAAGTATTTTTTGAAAATTGAAGGATTCGAATGCACTGTGCATAGCTAGAAAATCATGCAGCTGTGCCTCAATTAATATTCATTTAAGCTTGGAACAGTTAGACATACGCAGACCTATATTTTTCTCTCTTAAGCTTGAGATAGAATTTAGTGATTGTCCCTATAAAGGCTATCGTGCCAACTCTAAAACTGATGAAACAAAATATGATGTACCAAACTCAGAATCTTAATTACAGTAATCTAATTATGAGGATGAGGAAGCAAAGTAAAGTACGCATTTAGTATGGTGCCAGGAAGTTGCAAGTTTTAACCCTATCTAGAAAGACCCTAGGCTAAGTTGGAAAACATAAATGAGTTGTCAAAGAAATGGAAATATTAAATGGACCAAAATGTTGGCTTTACGGTAGAAAAACTAGAGAAACTTAATTGACTAATCTTTAAGAGGAGGGGCCTCTGGAGAAGAAAAGTAGAAATCCTAATAAATGAAGGAATGATGTTAATGGTATATCAAAATTGATGAAGAGAAACATGTTGAGATCAATGAATCAGAGTTCTCTATCAAATTATCAAATTATGTATGGACACTAAAATAAAGCCAATAGGGTGGGGTATTTGATCATGTTCACCACACAATTATAAAATGGTGCCCCCAGATTTTACAATAAAGTTAATAGCAATTTTTAGCAGGGTCAGAATCAACTCAATGTTTTACCAAGAAAAGTATTTGGAGTTACTTTAAGCTTTCTTTTTCACTTTATTTTCTGTTATCCAATGGCTGTAAAGGAACCCGACGAGTCAAAAACAGCCCATAGACTGCTTGGAATTCGGTGCACCAAACCTTAAGAAAGCAAAACAGAAAAGACAGTGCCAAATAATACTACTACTGCATACTTTTGTAGAATGGAAAGCTTAAAAAAGAGATTATTATATAGAAGGGAAAGATGCTTGTTAGTGCTGACAAATGATATAAGAAATTAAGGAACCTGTAAATGATTGTAAGTGGTATTCGTGGAATATGTCATTCACCAATAGCAAGGTTAATCGAGGAAGTCTAGGAAATGGGTCATTTCTTTCATGTGAATGAAACTTTTTCTTAACTCATCAAAAGAGAAAAAATTAATGAAAAGAGGAAACAAGCCTGCATCAAATCATTAAAAGTTTGGTCAACCTTCAGTATCACAGCCTCTTTAACCTTTACTTTAGAGCTAAAAGTCAGGGGAGTCATTTCATGACCAAATGGGATCACAGCCATCTGCCAAAGCACTGCAATTTTCATTGGGTCCAGAAAAAAAAAAGACAAACATGAAAATGATGTACTCCAAACCTATCAGCTGCAGAATCCGTGTATAGTGCTTGCAAAATGGAGTAAAATTTGGACAATACAATGGCACCACAAGCAGACAGTGCCAGGTTAAAAATATTAGTCACCATGACGGCAAATGGAACAGCCTGTGTAATCCAATAGACCCACCCATATCATTCAACATGAATCCAAATGCGCAAGGACAACAAAAACAAACAGGGGTGCAGTCCTCTATGCTAGGAAGAAAATAATTTGACACGAGCCCTTCACATTTGACTTGCCACATGAAATAGAGGTGCGGTACAAGCAATAAATCACACCAGCTAGATAAGGAATGAGTATAAGAGCATATGCCATTTGTGTAGTCTATATAGTAGTTATTAACAATGAAATTAAATACTATTCATCGGGATAAGGAATCAGCTTCGATGTATATTTCACCCTTGGCTTTATTCATCTACGCATTAAAATGGGTGTGACAGAGGCAGGAGCCTAAATGTGGAGGATGAGGATCCTAGCTGACCTCATATAGTATGTGCTCTTCTTCTAATGTGGTCCTATCTTCAACGACTGAGACCCAACTTTCTGCAATCTTAGCAACTCTCCCTTCTGAAATCTCAACTAAAGTAAAGGCTCTTCTGGTACCTTTTGCCTCTGATGAGGAAAGAGCACTTTCCTCGTCTAAGCTTCTCTTGTCTTCATCATTCAACCTTTTGACCCTAGGAACAATTGCCCCATTTAAGTATATGGTGTTATCAGGGCCAACCACAATCATTTTCCTAAAGCCATTGCCATATGCCAGCTCTTTGTGCATGTGACCAAATACAACCAAGGGAATTGATACTTGATCATTCTCTTTTAGCAAGGATATGGCGTGTGCTAGATCTGTCATATAAACATAATAAACTAGGTAAAAACTGTATTATCTCAGTTTTGTTATGTTTGCATTATCTCCATCATTCTTCAGTGGCACCTTAAGGTACAAATCCACTAAAATGGAAATGATTATTCAGAATAACATACAGAACCATCTGAAATGAAATGAAAGATTGTTATTCAAATAATAATAAGCGGGAGGTGGAGGCTGGAATACGGCCTTGACAGTTGTCGTTATTGCTGAGTGCCAAAACCACAAAAAGATAATATTTTAATAAAAATTTAAGTCATGAAGTATACGTATTACCTGGATCACCATAATCACCATTACCCCCAAATTCCCAGTCCTTTCCACATATATCATTCAAATCAGAACCAAGGCCTATACAAATTTAAAATTTAAACATCAGGATGTGTATTAGGTGTGATAGACAAGCAGTACCAACAGAGCTGATAACAAAATTGAAATGCCATGTGTCACCTGAGGGCCCGTTATGTGCAAGTAATATAAGAAAATGATCATCCGGTGTACCACGAGCAGCTTTCTGGATTCTCTTAGCACTCTCATCCATGTCTTTAATTCCATATCTATGACAAAGCTCAACTGATAAATTGATTTCGAGCTACCATGGAATTATAGTAATAGTTAAAAAACACAACATATATGATCTCCTAAACAAATCATAAAAGACCACCTAACTCTACTTCTATTGTGGATTATCTGTTGTCACAATAATGGATAATTAAATGAGGCGAGGCGAGGCAAGACAAGATTGGGCAAGATAAATACATTAAGAGCATCAAAAGTTAATAATGAGTAACTGTTGGAAAGATCGTACAGCATTCTTTCAAGGTGATAATGTGATGGGAGAAAAATGGTGATTGGTGAACTTAACTCTTTTTTGTAGGCATTAAAAACTAAGGTGGAAAGCTGAAAATACTAAATACATTTTGAGCCTTTTGAGGATCGAATTGTCTGATTACTTCCATTACAATACACACCTTGCAGAAAGAAGCTTTTTCTGCGACAATGGTTTACCCCCACAAGAAAATGGCCGTCCACCAACAACGCTTACTTTTATTAGAGGGAAGTCTGATCGTCGATAAGCCACATGCTCCTCACCAAGGCTGAATTTATATTGATAGATTCATTTATCAGTAAATTTTCTAAGGATCTCCATAAAATAATAAAAGCATAATAAGTAAACTCAATGGAATTTACAATTATCGAGATTGGGGATAAAATTAATCTGGGAAAGGTGTCAACAAGAACTCTAAAGTAGTTAACTTTGCTTTCAGTAATTGGTAACTTCTCTAGAATTGACACGTTTCCGGAACAACAAAAAATTCATCATAGATATTTTAAAATCTCATTTTAAACATTTAATAATGGAAAATGAAATAGCCCATTTTCTTTTGTTAAACCTGTGAACAAGTTAATTCACCTATAGCATTATATAAGCACATAAACAGAAATAACAGATATGCTTTTGTCAAAAGTAAATTAATAAGATTTTGAAATGCATAAGTCAAATTAATAAATCAGAGCAAAATTTTCTCAGAATAAATCAAATACTTATAGATAAGCTTACCATTCTAGCTGAAGCTGAACTTTATCCTTCTCCTGGCTAATATTTGAATCAAAGTGTTAGTTTACAATTTGAATAGAAATCAGCATTTGCAACTACCACCTACTGCGTACAAAACAAACTCAAACAAATTAAGCTTTTGACATAATACAAAGCTTCTACTGTCAAAAAGATTGGACGGATGGGATTATTTGTGCGTGTGTTTGCATGTTGTTATCAGGGTGGTGGGACAAAAAAGATGTACTGTAGACATAATTTCAAAGTTTATTTTCCTAGTTTTCTATCTATTTCTCAAATGAAATTTTCATTAAGCCCTATGGAATAATCAAACAACATGAACCTTTTTTCACAGAGTACACAAACACACACAAAGAATGATTCCAGGAACAAACTTGTAAACTTCACCTTTTAGAAAACTGTTTAGTGAACCAGGCATCGTGGTTTCCCAATATAACTGCTTTAGAAAATTCAACATTTGCAACACTCTGAACGACTTCAACATTTTCATCACCAAAATCACCTAACAAGATTGAATGTGACAGTTGAAAAAGGATGAAAACAGTAATACACAGATAAATCAAATAACAAATTAATCATAACAAATCATAAGTTATACAACAAAGATAAATTAACAGGCCATAAACTTGGCACATGCTGATTTGTACAGGTCTCTGGCTATTAATGCAAACCATACTCCTAGGTTATTTAGAAGTTAAACAGATCAATGCCATAGCATTCAATTTTCAAGATGGACACCGATTTTTCATAGGTCTACACCAGCTATTTTCATAACAATTAAAATAGGCATAGAGGAAGTAAAGACACTTAAATGCATTTAAGAAAAATCACTGTAGTATGATAGGTTGATCAGCAGTAAAGTGAAGCTTGCCTGTAAACAGCACCAAATCTGGCTGCACTTCAACATAGGACTAGATTAGATTGATAGATCAGATATACGAAAACAAGTCAATAATATTGTACATTAAGTAGTTGCATCAACTTAATAGAAATTAATGATAGATGAATATTCAATATCACAACTTTCTCTTTGTTTTCTTTCCCCTTCATGGCGTGCAAAAAGGACAAAAAAAATTGTTCTTACTTCTTATTTTGATTTCTCTAGTTTTAGTTCCTTATAATTTTTCCTTTATCATTTCGTTCCCAAATCTCTAACCAAGATTTGATCTTACACAACCTTTCTACATCAAAGTGCAACTAGCCAATTAATTTTAGCAGGTACATGTTTTACTATTACAAGTGACTCTTGGACTCCAGAAATAGGGGTTTTGTTTATTAATTATTTTGGTCTATATGGGAATGGAAGTAAGAAGGACTTTTTAGAGCTTCTCTAATGGAAATATAGTTTTGTTTTTCAGTAGAGAAGTTCACAAAAACGCTACTAGTTTTCTATACAAACACGCTCAATGTCTATCTACACAGCCAATTTAGCAATCCCCAGCAGATTACAGGGACATCCATCCATTTGTAGCAACCTCTTTTAAGTATTTGTGTTTAGGGGGCTCGGAGGTAGTAGGAGTCTCTGCACCGGGTTAGCTTCGGCATAATAAAATTTCCAAATAAGGTTTATTAGTAACCAAGACCAAAATAATAATAGCAAATAAGTGACGATAATTTTCCTTTATAGTACTAGGGAAGTTGCATTTCACAACAAGGTAAGATTTTTTAACACCCTATGAAAACTAACAACCTCAGCTTTTTTCCCTTTTACTGGGATAACCAAAATTATTATTCTGGTCTATAATCTTTTATCATAATTATCATATTTTTTGTAAGCTTAAATAGCATGGAAATGAGAATAGGAAAGAGAAGATAGAGCACAGAACCCCACAGCATCGAGGATTGAATCAAATGGCACGTGGGTTGGCAGCAGAATATGCATAAGCTTTTTCATTAACAGGGAACGAAAATGGAAACAGGATAATGGAGAAAAGTACCTGCAAGAACTCAAGCGCTTTGGAATCTTGTTCAAAGTTCCAGTAATCATGCTTCAGAAAACCCCAAATTAGGTCATAGGCATTGTCCCAAAACTAGCAAACATGAGAAGCAAAAGTTGGGTTTGGAAAGTGGGAAGAGGTTACTTTACCACATCACCGACGACGACGATTCGAATAGAGGACGACGCGGCCATTGAAGAGCAAGAGAGGTCGAGCTTCGGGCTCACACATTGACTAATAAAGGAGGGAAATACGGTAGACGCGTGAATGCACGCGCTCAACATGGGTATGAACAACCTTCTCTAAAGAGGACTCTTATTTTACATGTTTTTAGTATATCAAATTTGTGAATTATTTGAATTTTTTAGACTTCAAATTAATTTTTCAGTTTTTTAAGTTAAAAAAATAAGTAAAGCTTATTTGTCCAAAATATTATTAAAGATTTATTTTTTCACTTTTTAAAATTATACGAGGTTTGTTTCACAGTGTTTTTGCACTTTTATCATTAAATATCTAATAATATTCATTTCCGTTTCAAAATATTTACTATGACAAATTTTAAGTATGAGAAATTTGGACGGGATAAAAATAAATTATTTTTTAATTGCATAAATTAGAAATATTAAATTTTAAATGTAAAGAATAAAAGTTAAACTTATATTTAATTGATTAAAAGCAAATTTACATTTTAGAAAAAGCATTTATTTTCTACTTGACACTCTTATTTACTCTAACTTTTTATATATTTAATAAATTCAACACTCGATTTTATCCAGTAACTCGTAAAAAATAAAAAGAAATAGAAATATAATATATATATATATAATTTAAAAAAAATGTAAATATTTCTTTCTTTTTGTTGTGTATTTGATTTTTATTTTGTTGTTGTGATTTTACTTTATTTGATTTGATTTCATGTGATTTTTATTTCGTTATTATATTTGATTTTATTTAATCTTATTTTATGTGATGTTGTTTAATTTGGTTTAGTTTTATTTGATTTCATTGATGTGATTTTATTTGTTTCAAAATGATTTGATTTTATTTTTAACTTATTTTATGTTATTGTGTTTCAGTTTATTTGGTTTTTTATTCCGCTGCCATCATCATAGCACCACTACTGATGTTCTTTAATTCGTAATATTTCATCAGCATCATTGCCAATCCTTGTGTATTCGTAATCTTTTCACCAACTGAATTTGGCTCATTCGCAAATTGCTGATGCTTCATCAACTCCACCAACCTAATTTCTTCAGCTTCCAATCACAGCTACCGACAATTTCCTCCAACCATCTTCATACCTCTTAATAATACTCATACGCTACCTGAAACACCACCATCAGCAAATCTTTTCTTATTCATCTCTTTCTCTATTATTTTCCACCATAACAACCATAATATCTTCTCAATGACAACACCAAATCATAATGTAAACTTTACCATACAAAACAGAAAACATAGATCAAAGAAAAAAAAGGGAAAACCATGAGATTCGATTTCTAACACAAGAAGCGGGATTACAGTGGTTAAAAATTAATCGTTTTCGTAGTTTTCGATAGTAAACTATGCTTGATATTGATGGTGATTCAAACTCTAATTTTTAATCTCATTTTTATTTTGTAGAGTTTCATTAGTCTTTGGTCACGATTTTAGTTGTGACACGATTAATTACCTTTTTTTAAAGAGAAATATTACTTTTATTTTGAGGATTAATGATACTTTTACAACAAAACAAAATTATACTTTATATTTACTATTTTTTTCCTTCTCCTTTTCTTCATAACTACATAAATATATTTATTTTAATAATTATATTTTGTAACATCCCAAAAATATAGTGTAAAATCATATAGAGAATAATCACATGTTAATAATACTACAAATCAGTTCTACGTTGAATGAGATAAGATTATGGCCGAATGACCTTACACAATAACAGGGAAATTAAAACCATTACTCTAGCTATTATTAGACCGAACGGTGTACAAAAAATAGTATACTTACCAAAGGTAAAGCTAACACCAGACTGAACGCTCTCAAGGTTCGGCCTTCACTTTCGTTGCATCTTCCAATACTTCTTCAAGCAGTTCTTCTCCTTCTGCTCACATCCACACGGATGATCATTGCAACAGGACAACGACCGGACGCACAACACAGACAAAAATGATAAACAGGGTAAACTTATGTAATTTAATTTATTCAATCACAACATACAATATTCATAACAACACCAACAACAACCACATCATAATTCATACATCAATGCATGCAAATAATGACCACATGACTCTGACTGTCCAGACTGTATGAATCATGTGTAGCTACGACGTTCGTGCACCCGGGTGATGTAGTAATTGGGATACCTTCAACAGCTGCCACCCGAGGTTGATCCGTTCCGTCCAAGTTAACCTTATGGACTAAGACCTAATGACATTCCCACACGTGACTTACTCCTCTCTACATGAGAACAAGTAATCATGGAATATCAGGATGAACGCCCGCTAAGCTTTGCCCACATTCATACTTTACCAATCAATAACCACTTTCTGAGATATTACTCCCTGAAATACTCGTTCATAATCAACTATTTCATACACATAAAATCTCAATTTTCCTCATACTTAATCATCCATACATTCAAAGGAAATAAGATAATAAGCACTTATCATAACCCAAGTAAGACTAGAAAGACGCTTCTTAGAAATTAAAGAGACTGAGCGCTACTCATCTACTACAATAAACAGACTCCTAAGAGTTCAACCGGACGCCACGAAGCCTAGGTCGAGTACTAAGACTCTAGGCCGAACACCTTTTAACGACCAACACTGATTTACACAAATACTAATACTGATGAGAAATTATGAATTAACGAACACTAGCTAGTATGAATAAAGACTCTGATTCTAAGCACAATAATACTATATTACAGAAAGCAAGACCCAACGCTTGGTTTAAGACCGAGCCCTGTAGATACCGAACACAATTGGACAAGCGCGGGTCCAAGACCAATTGCTTATCAGGAACGAGCGCTACTGAGACTGAAAGATTGGTCCAAGACCGATCGCTAATAAACTCTCAGAAAAAGAATGAATATATATATATATATATATATATACCATTGGGCCACCACTTATTCTGAATGAAAAGAACGATAACGTCTACGACTTTAGGTAGTATATAACACATTAACTAAATTGTTTAGGAAGTCTAAAGAAGAACTTAACATGAACGGACGCTCAATGAAAACAGAACGATCGATCACAGATTATCTATTCCTATATAATATTATCGAAAGACTCTTAAACACTATCCCTAACTCATGGTAATTCAAGACCATACACTCCCAAGAAAAACCGAACGCTCGCTAATGACGCTCGACCATGCTAAACACCTTTGCTCAGAATACTACGGTTCGAAGATTAAACTCTATCCCAACTCAGTGCACAGCGTATATCCTACGTCTATCCACACATCCAAACCAGCAGTAAATCATATTTCATACTCATCAAATAATCACATGTATCATGCAAGCATACAAACATTCAACACAACAAGCTAAGTTAAATTATATAAGTTTCCCTTACCTCTAAGTGTGACCGAACGCTCAACTATGTAGAATTAGAGCTCCCTTCTACCAAAGACTTAAAGTCTTACGACCACGTTTTAGGAATACTAAACCACATAGAAAACCAAAAACACTCAGAATAATATTACCCACTCAGACGACCAGAACTAGAGGGTTGCATGCGAGTCTTAAACGAACGTGCTTAAAGAGAAAGAACTCGCCAGCTCAGAATCACAAACTGATCGGTTTAAATGGAAGCTCTTGACGTCGGGAGTGTTCCGGCGGTGCCTGAGAGGTGATTGAAAGAAGAAATGGTGAGGTTTTCTTAGAAAGAGGAAGGAGATTTTAGAGAGAAGGAGGAGAAAAGAGTTTCGACGTTTTGGAGAAGAAGCAAGACATCCAAAGAAGTGACACATTATTTGAAATTTGGCCTTAAATACTGTCGTCATCCAAAACTAAAACTAACTGCCACTCTCCTGTGGCCACCTATTTTCCACTAACTCTATTTCCCTTAAAATAATTTTTTAAATTAATGTATGTTACCAAAATAACATTATCCTATTTAAGGAAGTGAAAAAGAAGTGATATTTTTAACTATGCAATATTATGTTAAAATTAAATACCTTCTATTTATTATTATCCCTTTTTTCTCACAAAAATTGAAAGCATTAAAATTAAAATATAGAACGAAAGCATTAAATAAAAAGCTAAGTAAATGTCCCCTCAACTACTTCGTTGATTATTTGATAATTTTTTTTAAGTATATCGAATCTTTTCTTTTTACAATTTTTTAACTGATGTCCTTCCATTTGTATGTAAAGTGAAACAGACTTATGAAATAATATTTAGATTTAGACTTGTCGAGGTAAACTATTAGTAGAAGTTAACTAATTCAAAACTAAATAAATAAATTGGTTAAATTTTTTAAGTTAAACTAATTCAAATTTGTGAAGGAATTGAATAAAGATATTGCTAAAACTGGACATTTAAGCAAAAGTCTACCAGTCACCTGCCTAACCGGCAACCTATATGTGGCTGTGAGTTTAAGGTTTTTGGCAAAATTTGTTTTAAATTCAGACTATACTAACAATCTTTTTATAAAGCTACTAAAATTATTATAGAGTTGAAATTTTGCAAATAAATATCTCTATATTTTGACAAGTGTCAGTGGTAAGATCACATATTTAACTTGTATGGATTATTTTGAATAAGTGATTTTACTTCATCTCTAGATTTAGTGAACTTCAAAATATGAAATGATGTTTTGAATTTTTCATTTGAATCCAAAATTGAAAAAAATTGTTTTAAATTAATTGAAAAACATTATATTAATTCTGAAAAAGTTTACTTAAATTTTAACGAGTATTATAATATTAAGATTTTAACATAACTTTTTTAGACAAAGAAAAAATAATTAGAAAAGAAAAAGTCGACTTAAAGTTAGTCAATTTTATAAATTTGGATTGCTTTAATAACTGTAACTACTTTTAGTGAAAGTACCTTATAAATGAAGGTTATTCAATATTTCCTTTATTTGTAAGATTTGGTCAATGATTTTTTAATAACTGATGAGAAAAGTAATCACGTAAGGCTTTTAGACACGTCCACTAAAATTCTCTTATCAGCCACTTCTTAATTAGCAACTTCAATACCCAAGAAAAATGCTGCAAATTCAATATACATCTTATATGTTAAAAATATTTGTGTTAGCTTAGCTTTTAAAATTTATAAGGAATAATTG